ATCCTACACATTGGTCCTTTAAAGGTACACAGGTTCAAAAACTCTTGCCATTCTTGACCAAAGAATCCCATACACTGTCTATCACTTGAACTCACTTTAGTAATAAACACATTAAGCTCAGCCTTAAACACAAAGACTTTTTCAGGCCGTCATTAAAAAACCTTTTTCAAAAAAGACATTTTGACATGTCACAGTAGGAAAAGAATGAAAATGATAAAATGAACAATTGCTGAATTCCAATTAGCTGCCTGAGGTTTCAGGGTCCTGGTGTTGGTGCATGCTGGTTCACTGTCAAGGCTTACTGGGACAGTTGAATCAAATGGATCCTATTGTTAATGTTATGAGTGACACTGTGCTTTTCCTACGATGACAAGCAAAATGTCTGCTGTAAAAAAGCCCACAGCAGCTCCAAAGCAAAGACTTAAAGTTTCAGATTTCTCCCACTAAAGGTCCCTCAGTCTGTCCACCAGTTCACAAGCCACAAGCAGAAATAAAGGTTGTGTAATGCTGTTTTTACATTTGGCTCTGCAGGTTAAGAGCAGAGGCTCTCGGTGCGTCTCGGGACTCCAAGGATGAAGGAGGTGATGATGTGAGTAAAACTGCCTCTGAATAACTCGATTTTTGTTTGGTTGGTTGATGTTAAAAAATACTTTTGCCACATTAAAACATGACACAACTGCTGTTGGCACACTGCCTACCTCTGCATCTAAATGTGTGTTTTGTTTAATTAAAAAACGGCATTATGCTCTCTCCCAGTTTTCATCACCCATGCAGGACGGCGACATGACGATGACGCAGCGACGGAGGTTCACCCGGGTGGAGATGGCCCGCGTGCTGATGGAGAGGAACCAGTACAAAGAGAGACTGATGGAGCTGCAGGAGGCCGTGCGGTGGACAGAAATGATCAGGTAGACGAGAGGGAGGCTTTAAACTAAAGGTGGATGAGCACAGGGAGTAAGATTAACATACTAAAATGTTGTAAAGTGTTAAACTTGTTATTCACAAAAAGTAAATGAGCTATATTAAGCTGAATTTTGTGTTTTTATACTAACTGACTTAAAAAGTTGTTTGACATTTCATGTTCCATTGAGACACAGGTTTATTAAAAATATTACTTTATTGGCCCAATTTCTTGTCTGTGCTTCTATAGCAGCACAACATTTGCAACGTAATTGCACAGAAATGCCTCAGATGGTGGAAAATTCACAAAAATGTACCGAACCACAAAAAAAGAAAAGCACTTTCTTCTTTTCCTTTGACTCACACGTCTCCTTCCTCTCAGGGCGTCCCGAGAGAGTCCTCCAATCCAAGAAAAAAAGAAGTCCACCATCTGGCAGTTGTGAGATTCTGCTTTTATTTAACTAAAGTACCATTACAAGAAAAAAACCTTGAATGATTGATTTGGTAAATTAAAACTTCTTTTTCTCCCACCAGCTTTGCACGTCTCTTCAGCACATCGTCCAGCCCTCCACCTGTCAAGCGGCCGTACTACAGCGTCAACATCCACTACAAGTCTCCCTCGCCGGCTGGTTTCTCCCAGCGACGCAGCCACACCATGTGTCAGATCTCCACCTCCAACCGCACGCTGGAGTTCTTCCCTGAAGAGTGAGCAGCAACCAGCTCGACCCCCTCACTTAACACTAAACCTCCACTCTTACCTGCTTCTCACTTTGGTCTGAACGCCTGGATGCTTGCTCGCTTGTGGCAGCTTGGAGAGTAGAAAGCTTCCGGCAGGTTCTCGGCATTTGGGATTGGTTGTTAATGTCTTCATATCCCATTCAGACAAATCTCTTTATGCATGATTAAAGGAAATATTCTAAACATGATCTTATTCTTATCCTAATCTGCACAAATGTTTGTTTCCATCTTTCTTCTATTTCCATCTTAGGAGTCTGCAGGCACAAACATTAAGATATTTAAAATCTTTTCCAAATTTTCAGCTCAGTCTGATAAATATCGCTTGCTTGAGCTAGAATAAAGCGTAGTTTAACTTTTGCTGGTAACAACGCCTGTTGCTTTATTTTCTTCCTTTCTCTTTTCATCTCTTCTTTCTGCCTCTTGCTGCTGGCTGGCCAGGCTGCTAATGCTTCGCTTTCTCTCTCTTCCCTTCCCTCCCGTTGCTTCTAGACTGGCCAGTAATGGTGTTGCGTCTCTCCTCAGTGACTCGGCACTGTTGGCCCGCCGAGAGCAGCGGCGTGAACAGTACCGGCAGGTCCGAGAGCACATGCGCCGCGATGATGGCATCATGCAGGCCTGTGGTTGGAGTGTGCCTTCTCGCTTCAAACAGGTACACACACACACACACAGCCCACCCTGATTGGTCAGAGACCCTTCTGGGCCTCCACATACACAACAAAAACTCACAAATAACTCAATTTAAAGGGGAAAATAACCTTAGAGTTGTTTGACTGATTGATAGAAGTTCCTGACAGCCAGGGACGTGAATACCTACAGTATGGACTCAATAAGATTTGCAAGTGTGTAAATGTGTAGGAGAAAAAACACTCAGCACTCAATTCTCCCACACTCTGCGTGACATTGAAGTTACAAGTAAACATTTTTGCCATGCTTTTTATACGCCAGAAAGCTGCAAATCTTTTTCACACATAAAATTACATAAAGTTTCTCATGCTGACTTTTACTTCTACACTTGTTTCTGAACATTATTTCCCAAGCTCAAAATCATATTGACTCTTGTTTGAGGCCATAAAAACTCTGTTTCCAGGTTGATTCTCACATGTGAAAGTGAAGCGTATTAAACATGATCCTAACAAGTAAGAAGCCATCGTTCTCTCTGAGATACATTTTCAAAGACTCATGATGTTTGTGACCTTTTCCTTTTCTTCTGTTGATGATGTTGTAAGAAGACTTGTCGGCTGTTTGCCCATGGTCTACTATTTAATTACTGATATGACAGCTGAAACTGATCGGAGGTCAGCGCACTGACTGACTGTTGATTAATGCTAGCTGCTGTTTTTGTTTGGCCCAAGCTGGTACATCGTGGCACATGTATGGACAGGCAAACAGTGAAGATTGTTCTGACTGTTTATAGTTTTTGACAGCTCTATGGTTGGTTTTCGTCTTTTAATGGCATTTATTGACAACAAGATAAATATACTTTATCCTGTAAATTAAACCAACACCTGTAAGAATAGCAGCTCTCAGTCTTTTCCACTTTGGTTTCAAGCCTGATTTCATAGCATCAAAGTGTTCTTGGCAGACCTTGTGCAGCCCGAAGGCCAGAGGGCAGAGTTTGTTGATAGGCAGGTGGCTCTAACTCTGGTCTCCCACAGACTGGTGGTCAGACGGACAGCGCTCAGGACAGCCCGCTGAAGAGACAACAGGCAAGTGAGACCGACAGAGCGCCAGCATGCGTCCTTTTACGGCTTCCTCTCCCTTTAACCTTCCCCCTAAGGCCCCAACCCGATGGATAATACCAGAAAAAACCAGAGACAAACTCCTGAATATATTTAGATAATCAAGACGGCATTTTCTGTACTTTGCAAACTGAGTCACTGTCAGCTCCAAGTTCTTGACTAAAGGACTTTTTAAATAAGACCAACAGTGTATGATCTTAGGACAACTCTACCATGAAATGCAGCTCTGGAAATGCATGAAAATGGGGAGGGGAGACTTTTCATTTTGAGGCATGACAATATACAAAATGTTACTTAAAGACACACACACACACACACACACACACACCTTAAGACTGCATCTCTCCGATAAACTCCCGTCTTTGTGGAGTTGATTTCATCTAATCTTTTCTCCCTCTGCCAATGTTTTAACCTTAACCTTTTAACCTTTTGACCTCTGTCTGTCTCAACCTGCCCTACTTAACACATTGATGCCGTCATCACTTACTCCTGCTTTGATTTTAGTGTTCCACCTTAAAGGAAAAATCCACTATAAAATACTGCTAAGTGATGGTGTTTGTTTGTGTTTTCTTATATCTGGCGACAACATGAGATCCCATCAGGATATTTCCAGTACAGCTACAATGTTTAACAGCAGAATACATTTTGGTGCCACAATCTAATCTAATCTAATCTAAAAGCATAATTTTGCACTGATATGTACTGCAGCAATCGTCAGAGATAAAGCCATTATAAAAGAGGCAGAGATGGTCCTTGGTCTCTCTTGGGGAAGAAATTAAAGTGATTCCAGTGGAGTTTTCCTTTAAACTGCCTGCAGTGAATGTACTGTACATGTATACGGTACATACACAACCACTGAATGTTCTTGTTTTCCACTGAAGATGTTTTGATGGAACCAGACAATAATTCACTACTTTGCTTGTCTCTTGACCTCTTATCACGTCTACTTTTAGACCACTAACGAGAAGGAGGACAACCGCATGAAGAATGTGCCTGTCCCGGTGTACTGTCGTCCTCTGGTGGAGAAGGACCCCAATAGGAAGGTAAGGAGATCAACAGTTTTCTATGAAATAAACCACACCAGCTCTGCTGTTAAAGTCCAGATCTACTCAAAAATGTTTGCTTCAGTGATTATGTATTTGCACTTTGACACAAATTATTATTGAAAGCAAATATTTTTGGTGTCTTAAAAGCCCTAAAAACCTTTTCTCAATCAGTATTTTACTTTGAGCAATGGAGTCCTACATGAATTCAGTTCAATTTTATTTGTATATTGCCGAATCATAACAGAAGTACACTAGACTAATAATTCCCACCATGAAAAAAACGTCCTTTTAAGAAGCAGAAACCTTGAACAGACCCTGGCTCTAGGTGGGCAATGCGCAATATTTTCTGCCAAAGTCAGTTTTTGGTTATTTTGTATGAGAAATGTCTGTGTTTGAGATTTGTTTTTGTTTTTTCTTGTTCTCACTGGTTTAAAGTAGGCAGAGTTCAGTTGGAAAGATGCCACCAATCAGAATCGAATCAGGATTTAGCAACATTTGAATCTGATGACAATTGGTGGTGGATTGTTTGAAAACTGTCAATCAGTTATGATCAAACTACACCCACACAGTCCTCTCTTAACCGCTTATTACCATCTCGTCAGTTATGGTAAGCCACGCGGATCTGGGACGACAGGATGGAGCATTAGCTTGCACAGACTCTCTGAAGGACAGGGGGCAAACATTAAGAAGGAACACCTCTTGCATGCACATTCTTAACCTAAGGACATGTTAGAACAGGAATTAAATGAACCATAGGCGCACTTAGGTTGATCAAAAAGCATTTAAGGGGACGGTTAGGCTGCTTTGGGGTGACATAAGGCCAAAAATGTGTCTCAAATAGTAATTTATTAATTCATTTATTTTAAAAAGGGCACTCTGACAGTCTTTTGAATCTCTCACATGTGTTCAGGTGGCACGTCAATCTCATATTTGACATATTTTTAAATTATGTGTGTGTGTGTGTGTGTGTGTGTGCACATGCTTGTAGTTGTGGTGTGCAGCCGGGGTGGACTTGACTGGATGGAGAGCCAGCAGCCAGGAATCGGTACCTGCCAAAGTACCATCAGGCAGCACCGACCCCCTGCACGCTGACGACGATGGAACTGGCAAGAAGAGCAGCCACAGCTCCCCAGAGAAGAGGAAGGTAGAACGATTTATTATTATTATTATTATTATTATTATTATTATTATTATTATTCACTTCAACTAGACATGAATCATAGATGTGGAAGAATCATATTCACATATTAGGGATAAGTTAAAAATAAGTTTCCATGGAGCATTATGCATTAAACTACTGAGAAATATGGAGGACACACACATGATCCCGGTCTGTCAGTTAGTCGTCATTGTGTTAAAACCCTGTCGTCTTCTCTCTCCTTCCTCTGCTTATCCAGTCGAAGGAGCTCCAGGAAACAGACACCATGAGCAGTCGAGTGTGGATCCTCACCAGCACCCACTCTGCCAGCAAGGTGGTCATCATCGATGCCAACCAGCCGGGCTCACTGGTCGACCAGTTCAACGTCTGCAACGCCCATGTGCTCTGCATCTCCAGCGTGCCAGGTGAGACGGAAAGTTCTTGTCAAACCCTTTTGTATCTACCAGCACCTACATTTTCTGCTGAGGAATTCCCCCAACAATGCATACCACAAGGATTTTATTACAAAAATAAATGAGTGATAAAAATAATGTTTTTGGGAGGCAGAAATAGAAAGATGTAGCTGCAGTGTAACATTGTTAACATTTGCGTGTTTCTATGCAGCTGCCAGTGAGAGCGACTATCCAGCAGGAGAGATCGTGTTAGATCCAGGTGACGGTGGAGCAGGTGGAGGCGAGGACACCGGCAGCGTGGAGGGCATGTTGGCTGGCATCACTCTTGTAGGCTGCGCCACCAACTGCAGTGTCGCTCGTAGCAACTGCTCCTCACGCACTGACACGCCCATTATGGACAAAGGACAAGGTGGGAACGTCCAGAAAGCTCCCTGTATTTTTTAACACCATAGACCAAAGGTGTCAGTCTGTTTATGTGAATGCTTGTTGTGCTTTAGCCCCGACAGCTCCCCCCATGAACGGGAAGATTCACCCTGCCCAGTCGGCCGAGGAGGCCACAGAGGCCACAGAGGTCCCAGAGTCAACAGCCAGCCACACAGAGCCGGGACCTCCAGGACCATTTACTGAGCACGTCTTCACAGATCCACAGCCTCGTCCAGCAGACAACTCCGACAGGTAGGAGCTCAGAGTCCTCATGAAGACAACCATTAGGAATGACATGAATACATAACTGTTTGTCATCTGTCCGCACAGGAACACAGGTCAATCCAAAGAGGAAACTTCTCACCCTCCAGAGTCAGAGGACGGAGGGGAAGAAGCCAAGAACTACACCAGCGTGGCCCCCACTATGTGGCTCGGGGCCCAGAACGGCTGGTAAGTCGCTCAGCAGAACTGTTGCAAGCTTCTGCTGAAGCCCTAGAATATCTAAAAACACATAGAACAATAATTTCTTTACCCTGCTCACATATAATTCACATACAAACACATTACTTAAAAGAGATTAATCACACTCTGTATGGGAAGATCCTCCAAAAGAGGGTTTATATCTTCCATCCAAGACTCGCATATATATTTAAATATTAAAATCATGAGATGCTGCTTTGAACTCTATTTGCCGTTTTGTTTTGCTCTGGAGTATCTTGCCTCTGTTCTCCCTCAAGGCTCTACGTCCACTCAGCAGTTGGAAACTGGAAGAAGTGTCTCCACTCCATCAAACTCAAAGACTCAGTGCTCAGTCTGGTGTAAGTGGTGGTGACAGTTCAACTCTCACTTCAACTCTGTGTAAATTAAAGGCAAATGTTTTCCCAATGTAGAGTTTTATGGATTTCTGTCACTCCAACAGTCTCTCTCTCCTCCTTATTTGCAGACACGTGAAAGGCCGTGTGCTGGTTGCCCTCGCTGACGGGACCCTCGCCATATTTCACAGATCAGAGGGTATTTGGGGCTTTAGATATTTGTTTTGTCAGAGCTCCCATACACCAAACATCTAGCAGCTTCCAGGGACTAAGAAAAGCAGCCAAGATGTTTTAGTGTGTTTTGTGTAGACGTCGTTATTAATTAGTTATAACTTTGCATTCTGCGTGTGGTCTTGTCAACAGATGGCCAGTGGGATTTGTCCAACTACCACCTAATGGACCTCGGGCGGCCACATCACTCCATCCGCTGCATGGCTGTGGTCCATGATAAGGTTTGGTGCGGCTACAAGAACAAGATCCACGTCATCCAGCCCAAGAGCATGCAGATCGAGGTGAGTCATGAATGCATTTATGAAGAAGATATTTCCACTGACTGTGATAACGAGCTGATCTACTGAATCCACCTAATTATTTTATCTCCCCGTAGAAGTCCTTCGACGCTCATCCTCGCAGGGAGAGTCAGGTGCGGCAGCTAGCGTGGATCGGGGACGGCGTCTGGGTGTCGATCCGGCTAGACTCGACCCTGCGTCTCTACCATGCGCATACACACCAGCACCTCCAGGATGTGGACATTGAGCCCTACGTCAGCAAGATGCTGGGTGAGAGTATATTGGCTTGTTACAGAGAAAATCTCAAGTAAGCTTATTTATATGGCACTTTTCAAAAACAGCAGTTCCAAAGTGCTTTACAGTTCATAAAATGCATCAAAAAACACAGCAGGAAAACAGCCAGTAAAATACAGTTTAAAAACAGAAACAGATACTCAATGCATAATGCATAATAGTACCAAGAGTTGCATAGTAGATACTCAACAATAGAATCTGGACCGTGGGACATTTAAGAGGAACTGGTCAGCAGATCTGAGTAATCTTGGTGCAGAGTATTGGGTTATAAACTCTATAAAAGAGATATTAGACGGTGCCATGGAGGACTTTAAATGTGATCAGGAGGATCTTGAACTGAATTCAAGGAAGTGGGCCAGAGTGGAGGTAATGTGCTCTCTTTGTTTAGCATTTGTCAAAAGCCTGTCTGCCGCTTTATGAACCAATTTAAGTTGAGCAATCACAGACTCACTTAGACAGGAAAATAAGTTAGTAAATAATAAATAAGTAATCCAGGCAGGAGGAGATAAAAGTATGGATGATTTGCTTTACAGTATTGACATTTGATGTCACTGACAACCTCTGTAGTCTCATTCAGCCACTTGTTAGCAACCGCCTTTAAATGTAAAAGCTTCATAATTCACTTGGGGTATTTACTGACATATTTTATGTCATAGAACAAAACGTGTGTGTTAACTACAGACCTTATGTCAGCCATCTGACCAAAACCCCATTCAAAAAACCCACTAAAGGAACAGGAAACCCTAAAATGCAAACTAATTTCCAGATATAAGGACTCATTCCTGCAGCATGCTATAACAATGTGAACCCACTGTAACATTGTAGACATTGTATGTTTCACAATTACCAACGCTGCTCTCAGCCACTGCCTGTTACAAGCTAACAAACAACATAAATGTAATTCACAGGTACTGGCAAGCTAGGCTTCTCTTTTGTGCGAATCACAGCACTTCTGATTGGTGGAAATCGTCTCTGGGTAGGAACTGGAAACGGTGTGATCATCTCCATCCCACTGACAGAGAGTAAGTCTGAGTTTCATTCATGCAGCTTACAACAAGAGACGTGCGGACAAAAGTGTGTCATAGGCTCTGTTTCCAATAAAAATCCAAACGGTGCTTCCTTAATGTGCTAAAACCACAAAATATGTCTGCACACTGAAAGACTTTTGGGGAGTGGTCGGCAATGATTAGCCAGTGGTCTCAAACTCCTTGACACCGCTAAGGAGGTTATTTTACTGTCTGGATGTCAGAATTTGTCAAAAACAACAGATTTTAGTTTCATTTGATGGAGAATTATGGAGTGATTATTTTGTTCATTTTTGTCCAGCAGCACCACCATGTGGTCTCTTAACATTTTGGCTTAAACGCCCCTAAAATCATAAGTGGTAGAACTATTTCGATTTTTTATTTTTTTTCAGATGATCTGAGACTTTTTATCAAAAAACTAACAAACATTAGGTGATTTTTCCTTGACTCAGCCTTACATACTGCAGTGTTATTTGCCTGAGTTCTCCTTTAGCTTACTCCCTCTTCTCCCCATAAACCCCCTGTCTTTCTTTCCACCTTCTGCCTCATCTTGGTCACAATTGTTACTGTTACTGTCCTCTTTCTCCTCTGCTCTCCTCCTACCCTCCTCCTCTTCCTCCTCCTCCTCCTCCGCCTCCGGTAGCGGTGGTCCTTCACCGGGGACAGCTCCTTGGTGTGAGGGGTAAGTGGGAGCGCTCCCTCCCTCCTGCTGTTGTGATCTGTCTTTTCTCGCCCGCCTTTCGCCCGGTCAAACCTTCATGTCACCTGAGACAGTGTCTGCAGACTAAACCTGTTTCTTTAAGCTTAGTTGAGATGTGAACACCAATGAATGAAGACACACACCATTAGTCTCCTTTTATCTGTGAACACTTAGCTTAAGGTCACCAAAAGTATTCTGTGTGCAATGATTTTACTTTTTACTGTGTATCAGAACAGTGTTTGGACTCATTGATTGCTTTGCATGATATTTATCATTGTGATTTATTACATCAATGATTCAAATATATGTTTGTGTGTATCAGATCTATTGCATGCAACAGATGTGTTTTAGATGTCTCAATTTTTTTAATATATATTTTCAGTTGATCTGTGGAAATATGGGGATTTTGTGGGTGTTTTTCCTAGAAAGATATATATATATATATATTTTGCCTGTGTCATACTTCCACATATGATTTGCAAGGAAACACTCCTGGTTGGTTAGTTTCTCACACCTGGGTTCCTCGTCCCTCAGCCAATAAGGTGTCTCCTACATCGTCCAGTGGAGTGATCCATGTGTACGGGGACGACGGCTCTGAGAAGAGCACCGGCAGCTTCATCCCTTACTGCTCCATGGCACAGGCCCAGCTCTGTTTCCATGGACACCGTGATGCTGTCAAGTTCTTCGTCTCGGTACCCGGTAGGCACGAAGCCCGTCTGTCTGCTGATCTAACAGTCTGTCTGTAACGGACTGCATTCCCTCGTCTTTAACCTGCTCTGGATGTCTTTTTCTCTTTGTGTGTGTGTGACAGGCAATGTTCTGGCCACCCTTAACGGCAGCGTGCTGGACAGTCCATCGGAGGGGCAGGGCTCAACAGCGCCCCAAGAGACGGAGGCCCAGAGTGTTCATAATGTGTTGGTGCTGAGTGGAGGAGAGGGCTACATCGACTTCCGTATAGGTGAGCAAACTAATAGATCCTCCTAAATGTTACACACTGGACCTATATATATATATATATATATATGTTGGTTAGGAAATACAGAAATAAGGAAGTAAATGGACAATAGACTTTAACATATCATCAGCACAGTAAAGTGTAAGATGTGTTCATTAAATTCTCTCTCTGTGTTTTCCTCAGGAGACGGAGAGGACGATGAGACGGAGGAAGGAGAGAGTGCTGGAGCCTCGCAGATGAAACCTGCTTTGTGCAAAGCCGAGCGGAGCCACATCATCGTCTGGCAGGTGTCTTACATACCTGAGTGACACCCGGACCTGCTTCAACACCCCCACCCACTCATCTCCTTAAAGAAATCTCCTCCTCCCCCCCCACCCAAAAAAAGCTTCCAGCCACCTAAACCTTGTAATTATCCCCGGTCATGTAAAAGTTCCCCCCTTGGCTCTAAAACGACCCTCAAAGCCGTGTATTGTCCCTTGTAACTATTATATCCCCTACCTGCCCTGTCACCTTGTAACTTAAATGCCTTGTAAGTACCTCCTCTGATCTAGTAATCTGCCTGCCATCCTGTTTCTGTCCCACCCAGGGCATTGTAACTATCTTCATGAGCCTTGTAACCCAGCCTCATAACTACCTCCCTCCTCTGTATCGATCTTATACTCACCCTGTAAGCACACTGTATCTCCTCCTATATTTACCTCAATTGTCCTGCATCTGCCCCAGTTACTCCTCCTCCTCTTCCTCCACTTAGTTTGTCATCTGTGAAACCTCCACCTCATCTTAAAGCGAAGCCCAGAACATGCATCAGTTGTACCAAAATAAAAATAAAACAAGAACCGTGGGACGGAAATGTGAATGACAGCACTGACTTGCATTTCCACCAGAAATGTGTCTGATGTTTTCTAACAGCCAATCAGAAATCCATTACCATTTACGCCATGGTGTGTTTAAATGGATGGAGGTGTCAGGTGTTCATGGATCAATCTTTGACAGTGATTGTGAGTGAATACAAGATTGTAGTGGATGGTAAACCAGTTTGGGTTTGTTTACTATTTGAGGGAAATTGAAGGTACGACAACATGGAATGAATTTAATGTAAAAATGATGTCGAATTCAGCACAAAAGTCTGAGCTTCTTTTGGCTGTTACCTAAAATATTTTGCATACAGTCCTGAAGTCACCTCTATTTGAAGAGTCTCAGTTTGTGACTTTTGCTCATATTCTGCCCCGATTACAAGAAAAAACCCTCATGAGGAGGCAATGACCCCCAATGACAGGAAATATGTGCTGTTGTAAATCAGAAAGGTCAGAAGAGTCTTGCTGGAGTCGCGTGAACAATGTTATAAAACACAGTTGAAAAAGGGTTGAGCGTCATGTTTCGAGGGTTCAGTCCGAGACTCATTTCTCTCGTCTGACTGGCTGTTGATCAGACGGTTCGGTGTAAAGCACGTGAGCGGTGATGTGTTGTCATTATGTGTACAGGGATTATTGTCAATCTCCACACACACTGAAGCCCATCCTCTTTGTTCAGTATGGAAATTCATGCATTGATCTCTATCCGTGTGGATTAAATATTAAACATATTTGTGTGCTGACAAAAGTGGACGGTTGACGTGTGGATGTCTTGCTTTACGAAACACACAAAACAGAACATTTTAAAAAGGATTTCATGACCAGATTTATTGTTTTTGACATTTCCAATACGACTTCATACAAATTCCACTTTGATAGAACAAAAGAAGATAGCGCGAGTGTAGTTCCTCTTTCGTTTGTAAACTGAGACATGACATGATGACACTGCAAAACTATACGCTCCCCGAAAGCTTTAGTCACACGTCATATTTGAAAACTTCTGCCGTTTACATTCAAGTCTTCCTACATGAAGTGACAATCTGGTTTACATCGTTACAGACAGGATACTGAGAATCGTGAACGGGTAAAAAGGCAATAATTGTGTTGATAGTGTTGGTTAATTGCTCCCATGTTGTTGGGTTTTCATTGCAAGGACCGTTGCAGGAGAAACATTTGGGCTGTTTTTTCGTAATAAAGATTGCAAAGAGCTTATCTTCAGTAACAGAAAAGAAGGATATTTGTGTGATGTGCAAATTTTTACAATTAATCTATTATTTAATGATTAGTATAACTCAGAAGATTACTGTACTTTTAATGGACATTAACTTTAAATGCAGCCATTTATACTCGTCATTCCCTGAAATTTGTGAATCGTAACATTTTATTGCTCCGCATTCTGAGCTTATTGCTTGAAAACTGTAAACATGAACATGAACATGAACTAGTGTTCTGGGCTACACAAAAACTACAATGAAGTCTGTAACAGAAGCAGACGCTGTGGAGTTGCTGATCAAGTTATTGCTCACTTAGTGCACGTTTGCTTTAAAAAGTCATTTTACCTCAGATAAAAAAATAAATTTCATGAAAAACGCAAAAAAAAAAAAGAAGCAGCAAGAAAGCGATGACCTTCACCTCCTGCGTAACTACAAGCTACTAAAGCCAAAAAAATAAACTAATCTGAAGTGTGATGTGACCCGACTTGTAATGACTAATAGGAGAAACACTGGTTCACCTACAGGACGGCGTACACACAGCACATGTAGACCGTCAGTTGTAGATCCAGTGACTGGCGCTGTTCTCCCAGCACTGGAGCTCGTTCTGACGAAACCACAGAGAGATTTCCTTCTGGGCGCTCTTCACCGAGTCGCTGCCGTGGATCACGTTCCTGCAACGCCGCACAAACATGTTCAGGACACACACACAGAAACTGTATCTGGAGCAGACGAAGGCTGGCCCGGTTCTAACAGTTGATAACAGTTTAATACATTAACTACGGCTCAGGGGTTAAAAAAAAAACTATTTAAAACACAGAAAAGACAATCTTAGAGGGAACAAAGAGTTGGTTGTTTACATTGTGGAAAGTGTGTTGGCCATGTTTGTGGTTCATTACATCACAATCGTGTGATCGATCTACAGTCACACTAGACCATCCCTCCAGAGTTGTGCCGATTTAAACATTAATTAATTAATTAATTAAAGGTTCTGAAAAGGTTTTTGAGAATAAAAAACACCACAGCTGGAAAAACAGACGTGTTAAAGACGAGTATTTGCAACCACCAGTGACCTCTGATGAGGTAACAGTGAAATATAGAGGAGATACTGAGGTAAATACTGCGGTGCTGATAATGCTCTTTATGTCTTTATGTCTTTTAATTTGTTCCTTTATTCAGTTGTGTGAAAGTTTTCAGTTTTTTTCTGATATTTCACGAGATTGGAGAATTATACGAAGGACTAACCACAGAGGAAAAGTCTGACCAGGATCAATTACACCTCAACAAATCATTCTTATAGGTCTTTTTCAGAGCAGACATTTTGACTTTTCATAGTGGGAAATGTACAGGGTCGTACAGGGTCTTGGTATTGTGCATGCTGCCTCGCTGACACACTGTCATTGTGCACTGGGACAGAGCCATCGTTAAGATTATTAGACACCAAAATGTCCGCTGTGAAAAAGGCCTGTTCTCCCTCACAGAAGTGAACCATCGGGTGATCCTACCTGCCCACTTCCACGCAGTAATCTCCTCGGATGGTTCCAGGCAGCGAGTCTGCAGGGTTGGTCTCTCCCATCATCTTACGTGCTGTCTTGACCACGTCCAAACCCTCCCACACCTGAACCCACAGAGAAATGTTTTCATTTACCAACAGTTCGGCCTCGCTGGGCCTCATCGCATCAACCGTTAAATGACTTGGACCGTTATATTAAAGTCAAATATTTTCTTATTGTAGTACATTCTGTGCTGAAATGCACCTTTACCATTTATTTCCACATATATCACATGTATGTTTGGATACTGATGAGACTGAATCATCAATGCAACTTCTTTATTATCTCTGAGTCTGAACACAGAGCAGAAAAAAGGCCTGAATTTGACTCCGCTGTTAACCTGCTGTCTAATATGGAACCGGTTCTTGATGCCCATCCCTATTTATTGCTGCAGTAGGACTGTAAAATATGCCTTATTTATTATTTACTAGGAAAACCAAAAGCCTACTGAATTTCTGAAAGCCTTTAGTGCTGTGTACAGTGTGTCGGAGGGAGAATCTCACCATGGCTACGATTGGTCCAGAGCTCATGTAGCTGAGGAGTCCCGCGAAGAAAGGCTTACTCCTCAGGTCCCAGTAGTGCTCCCGAAGAAGCTCCTCGGATGCCTGAAATACAACACAGACACATATTCAACTCAGTTCAAATGTTTAGATTTATTACACTGGCAATGATCGTTATTTGGACCATGAACTATTTTGTCTCAAGGAGGAACAGAAGTCCAAATACCTGCACAAGTTTGAGGCCCACCAGTTTGAACCCTTTCCTCTCAAACCGACGCAGAATTTCTCCCACCAGTTTCCGCTGAACGCCATCTGGTTTCACAGCGATGAACGTGCGCTCATTCACGCCCGTCCAGCCTGCAACCACAGATAACATGCAGAAAAAATGAAGTTAAAACCAACCAGAGCAACCAGAGCAGCTTACATGCACAGCCTGTGTCACACAGGGTTTATTGGGCTTGCAGACAGCCTGTAGACCCTGTGGACACACACACACACACACACACATATATATATATAAACCATGCAGCAGGGCACACAGGGTTTAAGAAACACTTGAAGGGTCTCCACAGATGTTGTCTATTAGTTGTTAGTTCAACAAGCCACTGTTGGATTCACAAACACCACTTTCCGGTCTTTGCTAATCTGAATATAATCTGCTGTAATGTAGCAGGAGTAACGCCTGAACCTTGCACTTTCACAACACTTTCTGCAACATCACAGCACGCTCAGTCTCACTGATTCCCGCCTGTGTTGCCTCTCACCAGATTCTTCAATCCGTGCATGTTTAAACACCAAATCTTCAAGTTTACGTGGATCTCGCTGTGACCTCTTTTTCGGCCCCATTGCAGCAGCAGCAGCAGCAGCAGCAGCCTATCAGCGCTCACAGGCTCCACAGGAGACCCGCACAGCGCCAATGGCGGCGCGTTAACACCCGAGTTATTAATAGGAGGATGAATCAACTCATTGGACAGTGAGGAGGACACATGGACTGTCAGCCCTGCTGGTGGTGACACGGAGCAGCCGCTGAGTGTGTGACGGCAGATTAGTACAAACGCAGACATTTTGGGTAAAGAGTCACACGTGAAAGCCGAACATGAAGTTAGTTACAAAAGCTTTATCAAAAGTTGCTGAGAGCTTCATGCCACCATTGTTTCACCGCTTCACTCTGCTCCTCCTGTCGCCGAGGGACGTGTCCGGCGGGTCTCCGTCTCCTGCTCCACACAGGGCGGACACTGTGAGCGATAATGTCCGCTGTCACTGTCACACTGAAGCACGGTGAACCGCACATGAAGCATAAACACCAACCTGACTGGAAGATGAACGCAAATATAGACAGGAACAGGCAGATCATGGTCGGCGGCGGAGTCCGGACGGAGCTCTGGAAGGAGGAGGACGTAAGCGACGTACGTACACACGCACGTTGCTTAGGAACGATCCCCCAAAGCGCGGGCGCGTAGTGTCCCGGGGCTCACGAGGAACGCGTCACATGCAAATCTATGGAAGCCCGAAAGATAAAAGCGAAGATAAAAGTCAAAGTAACGTTAAAGTGTGTGATCAGTTCAAAGGTTTACTTACTCATACAGTCCACTAATTAATATTTATTTTATATAACAGTAAGTTTTCCTTCATGAAGCACAGTGACTGATCACTATGTTTCTTTATTGTCTCTGATATTATCTCTGATATTATCTCTGAGGGAGGAGAAATACTTCACAGACCATAATAGGACCATAATTGTTTTGAGTGTTTAATCAGAAACCCAAACCTTGAGCATAGACAAATCTTTCCCTTGGTATTATATATGGTGTATATTAGTATATACTGTATTATCTAAATCAACAAATACTACTGCAGATTGTATTGTCTGTTTTTTAGATACCCAATTCGCTTTTGCATGTTAAGAAGGAAATCAATAGCTTCTCAGTGTATTATTATTATTATATTAGAGTGTATTAACCTACAATTAATGTATGGCATAATCATGAAGCCAGAAGGAAATATGTAAATTAAGCTCAGAGCTGGCCTACAGTCCTGGTGCTGTGTTCATGTTATGGGATAGATAGTTGGTTGCAAGAGAATTAAAATACTGGGCACTGAAAATATAATAAATAGGAAACTCCGTTAAATCTGTGTTTAATTACATTAAACAATAACCAGTTGACTTGAATGCTATTTTAAAAAGACGTCAGAAACTCGTCACTACAATAACTCTGATCTGACATAAACATGTAATGAGAGGAAGTCTAATCAGGCAGAATAAGTTAAAAACACCTGTGTCAGTAGACCATGGGTGTATTTAACATCAAATTAAACTTTGTCTTTGCCTGAGTGGTCGAATCTGCTTCCCCTCCCTTTTCTCTGCTGGTACAAAAAGGTGATCAGGCCTCAGACGTACCTACATTAAGTGTTCACTGTGCATCACGATGCTATACGGCAGTCTATAGTCTCTATAACACACGCACAAAAACCACAAACAGCAGTTATATTTTACTTCAAATTGAATATTTACCACATCACACATACATATTACATACAGGGAGGTCTGCTTCAGATGACAACAGCAGAGGACTCATTTGAGTCAAGGATTACGGACATTGAGGCGAGGGCTTCTTTCAACACTGATTTGGTCCAAAATGTCCAAGATTGGAGACCCTTCAGCTTCAAAAGCACGAGTATCACACCGCTGTCCCGTTCGTCCTCTGTCTCTCTTGTTCCCGCTTGCGGAAATAGTCTTTGTTGAGCAGAACGTCCCTTTTTAAAGGCAAGGCCGGCTCCTCAGGTAATATGCTGCCTGATGCTTTCTGGTGCTGGGCCAGGATCATGGCGCGGAGCAGGGGAGGGTACGGGACGCAGCGCACAGGCGGCTCGGGGAGCGGCTCAAAGTGCTTGAACTCCTGTTCTATGTGTTTGGGAACCAGGCGCCAGTCGTGGTACATCACCTTGTCCACTTCCTTCACCTCGCTCTCTTGTTTTCCTGTCAAGCACAAAATGCAGCAAAGTCACAACATGCATGTCTGAAAATACTAGAATGAAGCATTTAAACATCCACCGTGTTACTTTTAGAGTGTAAGGAAGATATGACATGACATTAGTGTCTGTAACGGTACAGTTAGAGAGACAGAATCAGACATGTTCAGGTCCAATCTTACCTTTGTACGTGAGGATCCCCCATGCTTTGCCATGATCCATGTTCTACAAAACACATGAATCATTTGGTTACAGGTATCCTATCAGACACAAACTGTTTTTTCAGTCAATTTTGTGACAATAAACAGACCTGAGAGTCAGTGCATGGATGGCCCGCTCTTACCTCAGATGTGTAGTCCACTTTGATCTTGGTGAGCTTCCAGTAGCTGGGCTCTGTGTGGTCCTGCAGCCAGGACTTGCGGGTAAAGATGCGGCCCACTCCGAACATCCTCATACCCGCCAGCAGGGAGAAGAGGGTACTCTCCCTGCGGACATCCTGCCAGGCGAGCGCAGGCAGCATCTTCCCCGTCTGCGGCCGCTTCATGGTCTCGTAGTCCAGGGCGTACTTCTGGGACTCCCGCGGCCGGGACTTGAGCTCCCTGTACGCCCGGATCTTCCGAGCCATTTCTGCTATGAGCCGAAGCGGCCTTTTCTTCACCATGACTGTACCGAGGTGGAGCAGCTACCGCACAGTCCTCCGTTCGTCCTGCGAGAGAGCGGAGTGATTTATGTGCAGCTCAAGTTAAAGTGTGTGTGGGGTTGTCAGTGTGAAGCCGTCAGCTGTAACCAGGGCAACCGGACTGATCGATTAGAGTTAACTAATGCCGAACTATCGATACTGGTTTCATTGTGCACATTTCTGGAAGTAATGATTAAAAATTCCTACCTGAAACAATTTGACCTCCGCAAGCGAGGGACACAACTTCCGCTCACTCGGTCCGACCTCGAATTGTCCCCGGCGAACACCCCGATTCACTATTTGTTCCGCCTGAAGTAAATGAATAAAAACACTTCAGGAAGCACATTAATAAAAATAAATAAAAGTAGTACATTATTGATTTTATTGGAGCAATACTGGGTTAATAACTGGTGCAGAGTTGTTCGATTAGAATGAATATTTAATAAGCTATAAAGATTTTATACATAACTTCTAAATCTCCTTTAAATTGTCTAATTATTTTAAGAAATGAAGGTTGTGTTGGCCTAAGTGCGGATTTTAATTATTAGACAGGATTTTTAATTACTGATGTCAGATAAAAAATAGATGAAAAAAACATTCACAAGTTACAAATATATAAATAAATGAAATAATGAAAACAAATAAAAACACAAACTAGAATTACTCCAAAGCACCCCCAAACCCTTTAAAATGTTTGAGTTAACTGTTCAATTTATCGCTTATATTTTCTGTTGTTTTCCACACTGTTATGAATACAATGAAAATATATTTTTTACTTCTTTTTTTACTAGCAAAGATTTCAAATTGACAGGTATGACTTTGGTATCACTTATTCTTTCAGTAGATTTACTCCAGATAAAGAATGTTATTTGTAATTCAATTGTTTATTTTACTCAAGAAATGTTACATTTAAAAGAAAATTGTTAAATTTCAATTCATTTTTTTTCTACTGAATTAAACTGAAATATGTTGTGTAGAATCAGAAGTAAAAAGCAATGCAAACTTTTAGTTGATCTTAAGCATTTGACTTGAAATTGACATTTATTGGAACCAGTTTCCTCTGTAATGAAAAAACACATCCAGTCCTTTGTGCATATTTAGCATTCATTTTATTTTCAGCTGAAAATCATGCTGATAAGTTATACAGAAAAAGGCGAGTAAAGGCCTTGACATACAGTATTATTATTATGACATGTTACAGAAGAAACAGAGTTTTCCTATTTACAGTACAACAGTAAGAAAAAGTGCTTGGATGCATCAATGTGAAGACAAATACTGTGAAATAAGACATAAAAATCATCTGCTGGACTACAACTAACCTCCCTGTGGTTACATTACTAAATCTATAGGGATAAATCTTATATTTATAATTACACAACTGGGTAAAATTAAGTGTGTCCTTTCACACTACTCGTGGCTAATGAGCACAATCCTCTGGTACCTTCACCCCTGTTGTCGTGTCTGTGCCTCTGTTATGACCCATTCCTTCTCCACTATCACATAAGATCCTCGTATTGCATAGTACCTTAAGTCTGTCTTTGTGTACGTATACTTAAACCAAGACCTTGAGGAGTGAACATGATCAAAGACTGGTCACTGAGGCATCAGTAGGCATTCTGTGTAGTTTCAACACCTGGGTCAAACACTGTTTTACTATATTGTTATGGTTTGATACTCCAAAGAAACTAAAAATAAGGATTATTTACATTTGACCCAGGGGTAATGTTCCCTGTCTCAGTAATTTATGATGAAAGTTGGCTGTAAAATGTTTGCATTTCATTTTCCTGCAGGATCAAAACATCCATAGAAATGATGAAAACCACTCCTGCAGCATAATCAGCAGCTCTCTACCATCCTTTCATGATCTAAACATGTTCTATAAGATGTAGTTATGACTATATGACAAAACATGGCACAGCTTCAGTCAGAATTGTGATTGTCAGACACGTAAACTGTGTTTTTAGCCATATTTCAAAAGTATGATTGTTAGAAACACACTAAACATACACACAGAGAGACAGGCTATGCTGCAGGAGCAATGTGAGAACTTTCTATAACCATATTGAAACTTAGATTTTCTGCTTTAACAGGGAAACAAGTGACCGTTTACAGCCACCTTTAAGCCAACGGGGCTGAGTGTTTTATATTAAAAGGATTTAGAATAGAGTTACAGTCCAGAGGAGTTGGTAAAGGAAGTGATGAAAAAAGGCCTTGGGAAAACCAAAATAACACCCTTGCATAAAGTACAAAAAAGTTTAACATTAAAACTGCCCACAATCTCATATTTTGTCAAAGAAACTACGTTTTTTTTTTTTAAAAGTTCTAAAAAATGATAAGGTGTAACAGCGATGAAAAGTCTCTTAAAATGTGCGGCAGTATTTTCTGAATGACATATTTTCTCATGATTAGATTTAAAGGACTTATACTAAATAACAATGTATACTGCTTATATATTTTAGAAAAGAGGAAATACATAGTTTAGTTCATAAGGTTTCGATAGGAGCCTTTTAAAAGCTGGTGACAGATGGATGTTGCCATAAACATAACAAATATTTGACTTAACTTTTTAAGTTTCTCATGAAACAAGAATTGTCTGATGAGGAATCATCAGACAATTGTATGAGTTGTTTGGATCTGATGGCTGTTCAATTAACGAGGAAAAGGAATATTTTCATTTGTGGAGGACTACAAGCTACAAAGTACATTCAGGTTCATTCCACCTCCTAACATTTCTTAGGTTTGTGATCTGCTTAAACATGTTTTGCTGTAGAGCTGTAACCTGTGGGTAAGAAATAATCACTTTGTCTATTCCACCCATTCGACACGGTGGCTTACTGACTCTCACTTTTGCAACCTAACCTAAAATTGCCAGTAAAACAGGTAACAGATTACTTTGATAATGCATGGATAGCATTTAGGCTGAGAACAATATACAGTATTTGCATACAAGATGAAGACACATTTTTTTGAAACCCCCCTTTTTTGCAAATATACCACGATGACCACCAAAATTTGGCCATACTTGACTTCAGTGTTACACTGTACAGTCCATTCCTGCACCTTTTCACTAAATCCCCACACACGCATGGCAACAAGTTATGCAAGCTAACAAAATAACACCACATCTTTTTACTTATTACTGAAGCTGGTTGGGACGCTGAATGTATGATGAGCATGAAGACATCTGAATGGCATGAGAGAAGATCACAGTAAAAACGTGGAGGCAGAAATACTGCTGTCACAGTTTTCCACCTACGTACCACTCTGATTCTGGTTATTTTCTTCACTACTGGACAACATCAATGTCGAGGAAAGCTTGAGGCAGGTAGGAAACACTAGATTAGATGCCATCTAGGACAGTGACTTCTACCAGTGTTTAAGAGGAGGTAGGATTTGAGCCGCCCAGTCATGTCCAGCGGCATCTCTTCCTCTGGCAGGCTTCGGGGTCAGACGTACAACCCTCCGAGTCACTCTCAGAGGAAGACGGTCCAGCCAGTGGGGGGACAGGCAGGCTTGAGGGGCGCTCAGGCCCATCTGGGGTTTCTTCTGTGGTGCCACTATTCAGACTGAGAACCCAACCCAGTTTGTTGTGGAGCAACTGACGAAGGCCTGGTGGCAGTGGCAACACGTCCAGGGTGTCTATACAGTCCGGCAGCAGCTGGCGGAGGCGAGCACAGCACAGGTACAGCAGGGAGGTGGGTGCAGAGCAGGATCTGATCACCTTCATGCTGCTCTTCGCTGCTGTGGAGCAGGCCATTGGATAAAACCTCTTATTCTGTAGCTCTGTGGCAGCGACACCTAAATCAAGAATGGTGACAAAACATTTTATGGTCATGTGTAATATCTTGTTACAATACTAAACTGTGAGTATAATGTATACAAGTTAGCACAGACTCCCCACTAAAACAGATGTGTGCTTTATACAGGCGACCATATGGGGGGTTGTATGAGGCACTCCATGGTCAGTGTATTACCTCCAGTAGAGGGGTTGGCACATCCCCAGTGGAGAAGCAGACAGGATACCAGTTTGGAAGTTAGGCAATGTGCTGCTGTGGACAGTTTAAGTGAATGCTATATTTAGAATATGCTGTCAGACAGTCCTTAATCGACAGGAAACTGAAGCATTAATATAGATATCTGCTCTCTTCAAATCCACCAGACTCCACTGACAAAAGTCTGCAGCAGTTAGTTCGGGTGCTAACAAACTACAGTGTTACACCAAAGTCACAACAACAAGTTTGGTGGCTCTGGTGCATTCCTCAACTTCTGTCTGCTTCTCCAAAATGGGGGCATGTCGACTGCCGTCTACTGTAGTAACACACCGACTATGGATAAATACCACTTCAATAAACCTGAACTAACCCTTTAAGGTTCACCAGATCAGTTTCACTCAGATGTGACAGACTGAGATTAAATATAGTTTCTGCTTTGAGTTACATTGGTTTAGTATCCATATCAATATTCTTTATGTTTAAAAAAGTATTATTGGCCAATATATCATTATTGGTTTATTTAAATTAAATTATTATTATTTATTTTACATCAGTATAGGCCTCAAAAATCAAATATCTACTGGGCTTCAGTAGCGTACTAGTCAGTACTAACCTATACACTTGCGATTCTTAAAGAAAGTGAGTGTGCCATGCCACGTGTCCAGATGAACTCCAATGATGGATCCCTGTCCAAAGCGGGAGGAGAAGTTCATCTTGTCTCCTTTATGATGCAACAAGCCTGTCAAAAGGAAGACAAACACTGATGTTTAACTTCTACAATAACCACCGTGAGCAGTTACATCATAGCATGTTGTGTTACTCTTACCAGTGTAAGAAAGACCCCAGCTGTCTGTATCTTTTCCCAACAGGCTGCAGAACGTGTGTCTGTATTTGTCTAGATTGACATCAGAAGTGCCGATGCCAACCATCTGTACAGAAATAACAAACACACAGCATGAATAAAAGCGTCTGTCCTTTTTCTTAGCAAGATATTAGCTCTACGAGGGATTTCTTAATCAGATCAAGTCAATGCTAGGAGGTAAGGAGTAGAGGTTTACCATGTCTGTTCCGTACACTGGGGACGTCATCTTGATTTCCCAGAAGTGCTGCCCTTCAGCCAGCTCCTTGGAGCCACGGATCGCTGCTGTACCACAACTGTATTCAGAGTGGAAGTTCACTTTGCGATTGTCGCAGCTCAGTAAAGTTGCTGTCGACCTGCTGTTGGCATCCCAAACCCAGTCGAAATCTGAAACAGAACAAGTCATTCACTCATTAATTTATTCATGGCCAATCACACAAGAAAATAAATCATTTGTTTGTTGCACACAAAAAAGTTCCTTGTATGTGGGCAAATCACAAAAATCAATAAGAGATTGACATGTAGAAGTTGTCTTGTACCTTGGTCATCCTCTCCACAGTGGCAGTCTTTAACTTGGTGAAAACCTCGCAGACGAGGGTTGTAGTTGGTTTCAGCCTGTGAATCGCAGCCGCAGTAGGACTCTCCGGTGACAGGCACTGCACTGGGGACTGGAGGGACCATCACTGCTGAAAAGTCCGCCTCAGAGTCTGAATCACTGTACTGGAGAGCAGCAGTGTAGATAGAAAGAGGAAATGCAAATGTCAGCAGCATTACTTATGTAACAACACAGCACTGGTTTCCATGTCCGACATCATGTCGCTTTCTTTTATGTGGAAAAAAGCTATTAGTTCTGATACAAAGCAAACAACTGAAACTTTAGCTTCAAGCATCAGACATGAGCATCAACAAACACACACTGTTTATAAAGACCAAAGGCAAATTGGAGGCTTTAAGTTTGAGAGTTTTGCTCTCATGGTGACACTTCCTATCTCGAGTGTAAATATCATATGACACAAACAAAAACTTCCATGTCCCATGACACTTCATATCTGTCCAGAGCTTTAGGTTACAGACGGAAAAAAACAGCAGCACTTGTATGATTACCTCTAAGCGATCATAGCCCCACTCTTCACTTTCAGAGGCCAACACAAGCGCCCGGGCATCAGCATCCCGTCGTATGCCACCCCAAACATATCTCCATGCACGGCTGTTCCTGCTTCGCCTGGACATGGCAGCAACAACACAGTCTCACCAGTAGAAGAGCCAGCCAGTCAGTTCAGGTTTCAGTCCAGATGCTGGAAGAACAGCATCAGTACAGCTGCTGGAACACAAAATGACAACATGGTTATTTTTCAGAGGCAGAGAGACTGGAGAGTTTAGTGGCATTTAACCTGGTTGAGCTTTGTACAACCAGGTGTGGCTCTAAGCAACCCTCTGAATAAGTCCAAAACACTCACACTTGCAGATGCTGTATGACATAATTTATTACTTTCTTCATATTATCTCGGTGTCTTGTTTCAGTGATATTCGCTACAGCTTTCCTCTCTCAAAGGCACTCATCTGGTTTCGTCTTACTTTATAAGAAATCTCACAAAATGCACTTTAGCCCACTGAGACACTTAGTGGGAGCAACGTTAACCCAACATCCCACAAAGACACCGACTGTCTCTGGGATAACATTACACATTATCTAACTACATAACCCAACGCTAACTAACTGCTGGTAGTCTGGCCCTGGTTCACAGCTCATTGCCATCAGCAGGAGCATTATTATTATCGTTTGAAGCGCGCTGTTGTTGTTGTTGTTTTTCTACCCATCTCCAGTTAGCCGCTTAGCCTAGCTAACGGCAGCTAGCCACACAGCTAGTGCACGGCAACGTGTTAGCAGGCTGTAACAAGGTCATTAAGTCCGACTGCTGGTTACAGCCGTGTATACAGCTCAGCACGCCGGTAGATGTAGTCGACCACACGGTTTATAAGAAAAGGGGCGACCGTAGGAGGAATATCGCAGATTCAGACCTAGCGTAAACGAGCTAGTTAGCTTCCGTTAGCTGCTGGCGGCTATCAGCTATCAGCGCTGTTGGAGAGGTCGCGTTAACGTTCACGTTACCTGGTTATTCACGGAAACCATTGACAACGCCACAGACAGGTTGCTCCTGAAGACACCGACTGCTGCAGCGTTGATACACGACAACCGAGCGAGTGGCTAGCTACGCTTCCTTTTTTTCCATGACCTACTTTACACGAGTGTGACCGTAAACAATAACAGCCAGACAGGCTCTCTGCAGGAGCTCTCTGCACGAAGTTTGTGCACACATGAAACACTGCTGAGGGGTTGTGCTGGAAGAAGGTGTTTTACTTTAGTGAAAGTACCAGTGCAACGTTATAAAATAACTCCATTGGCAGTGAAAGTTCTGCATCAAAACATCAGCAAATTCTTGAATCATGAAAAGTAGAAGTGAGGGAGTGTTGTATTGTTTTATATTAAGTCTGATCATTTACTTAGCTTTAAAAATAGTAAATAAATAATACCCTGCATTCAAAATGTAAAAGTACAGAAGTGATACAATGTACCTAAAGGATGGGTTCAAACGTGTTTAAGTCTGTCTAAAATCAATAGTCAGGTACCTGTATGAACACAGAACCGGTTTTGCTTGCTGTACAAGAACATTACTCATGTTCATACTGGCTATTAAAAGATGCCTTCCCTGTTTTATGCAAAAATGTGTTCAAATGTTTGTGTGAAGCTAATATGAGATGTGAGCAGTGAGAGTTAAATAAATCAAGAGTTATCTTCCAAAGTTTCAGTCCTTCTGGTATGAAACCCCCTTTTTGTTCCCCTGGTCAGTGTAAAGGAGTACTGTCCTAATATTAAATAATGTAAGTCTAATGTTAACTTTAGACAAACTTTGGTATACATTTTTGAATGGAAGGATTTCACTTACTGGTAAATTAGAAGTAAAAAGGCTTTTTCAGTGTTCATGTGATGTGAAAAAATGGAAATCTATCCTTTAAAGTGTCAAAGTATTATGGCCCTTGTCAGTTGTATGTTGTTCAATTTGTGACTCATTATCATTGATGCATTAACATAATAAGCCTTATTAAAGGCAGAGCTACTGAAATCTTAACTACTTCTTATATATATATATATTATGTACTGTTGATCAATAACTGCATCATATTTTAAAAACTTCATATCTTTTGTATGTAAAATCCTAATTTGAAAAATAAAGTAACATGAAACAGAAACACTCAAGTAAAAATACAATAAATTTTCCTTGCCGCCGTCGCCAAGT